CACACACACACACACACACACACACACACACACACACACACACACCATGGAGGCAGTTTCAGATTATGTTTTGACATGAGGATGTTGACACAGCTTTATTCTTTTGTGAGTTTTACACAATTTCATTCCATTTTTTCAACCATTTATCAGTAACTCCTGCTTGATTTGAAGAGGAGTATTGTTTGTAGCACCCTTCTGATTGAAAAAAGCTGCATGAAATATTTCAAACACTGTAGGAGAGATTAAAAGAAACAGACAGCACTAATGTGCATAYGAATAAAATCCAGTGCAAGTAATCTAACACAATTCCTATTCTTATTTTATTATTATTTTTTGTGTGTGTGCGCAATATTAGCATATCAGAAGGGGGGTGTTGAACACTCAGACAAATCTATTTTAAGACCAGCCAGACACAATGTTTTCTCATCAAAGATCACAATCAAAAAGAGAAAGAACATTACCTACAAAATCTACATGGCAAAGACCTAGTTTTGCTTGTTTTCAACAACAAAGTACAAACTTTAGTTCAAAAGGCATCATCTTGTGCTTTGTCTGGCATTTGCATGTAAAGGTCTTGGCAATAAATAAACTAATAACGATGCAAGTTTGGGTAAAGCTCTGTCACTCAATGCAGGACTGTTTGACAAACATTGACAAAAAACATAATGCATGTGCAGTTCACATRCTTTCATTACAAAGAATAAAAATATTCATAAAATGCCAAACATCAAACAAAAATACATGGTATGTAACAGACTAGTAATAGATGGATGAATAAAATTGTCTCTTTATCCTGTTGGACTGAGCTAGCAGAGAGCTGGAGTGGTGCCTGAATGATGAAGACACAATATAAAGAGAAATTTGAGTATTCTTCACTCCTGGAAGACTACATCCAGACACCTCAACAGGTAGCAAATATTAATAACAACTCAAACACTCAGAAAAACAAATGTAAACATAAAAATRCAAACATTTTGTTACATGTATAAACTAAAAGGCAACCTGTTGGGAGAGGTCATTGTCAAAACAAGTAAAAAGGCTGTGGATCTCTGAAACTGCAAAGCATGATAGACTGTTTCTTTTATTATTATTAATGATATATAAATAGTCGTCAACATTGAAAACCTGAAAGTCTATGATTCATTCAACCACAATGATAGAATATAAACATTACACCAGCACAGACACAATGACCTGAATGATTTTTATTTATTTATTTTTGTTTGGCACGCCAGATATCCAAAAGTTGAACCTACTGTTGAGGACTTTAACTCAGGCTGGAAGYGGTAACTTCAATCCCTGGATATCTAGTTTTTTACCATTTTAAGCAACAGCCTACAACAGCTGAAAAAGGCTTAGTGCAAAAACTCAAATGCAGCAATGCATGCACGCAACGGAACCTGCAGGTATGCCTGCACAAACATAACATATCTTTCTGCCAGTACACACCAGAAAGAAAAGAAAAACTAAACGGTTTAAGGTGCTGTGAACTAATCATGACAAACCATGACATTCTCAATTAGCAGTCTGTGATGCATTTTAAAATATTTCTTAATGATATAAAAATAGATCAATAGCTTGGTTTAACGGAAAATTTAAGGATTCGCGTCCATAATAACCAAAGAGTCTACGAATAATCTGAGTGAAACCTGTGGGGGTTAAGATTCCGTATGTTCAGGCTGTTCTACGAAGGCCACACAAAACTCTGAAGTATTCCCTAAGATTTCCCTTCCACACACACACACACACACACACACGAGACAGAACCATTAGTGTAGCAGAGGTGTGCTTCAGCTGAGTGAGGGGTTCTCTCCGGTGCTCGGGGGATGGGAAAGCCCCCAAATTAAAGCTCTCCTGGGTTCTGGTTGCAGCCGGCGCACACCCGCACAGGGTGGTCCCAGCCACGAGAGGGGACCGCTCGACGCTCCGGGGAGCATTCGTCACACACGCCTTGGCCACAGGCGCGGCAGTGGTGCTTGGACAGCTTGGCAGTGAACTCACGTTGGCAGTTGTGGCAGGACAGGATGTCCTGGTCAGGGACCCAATAGGCAGGACGGGCTGCATCTTTCACAAGTCCTGCAGAGATGATGGAGCATAAATGCACTCATTGACATTACATTCATGCACCTGTTATGTTAACACGATGCTGGAGCTTCATATTGTTCAGCAAAACTACAGTAAACAAGTCAAAGTAGAAATTCTGTCACTGACATAAAAAAATTACAAACATTATAAATACAAGAACCTCAGAGATTTACTTATAATCATGTAATATTTCTGACATTTTCAGACAAAACAACACAACCACCTCCACAGTATCCATTTTTCAGCTATTATTTGAACWTAAACTCAAGTGTTTGTACCACCTCTATTGAGTATTTACTTGCACTCACTTGAGTTTACCCCACCTCACTGTTTAAGTGTACAATTACTAAAAATAAAAGAAGTCCTTTGGTGTTGAAGGTTGGTTTCCATGAAAATGTGGAAACAAGAGTTGAACGCGTTTTAGGTCATTTTGTTGTGATTGGAGCAGATTTTGTTCTGAGCTGTTTTGGTGCTGGTTATAGATAGAAGAAGACATTTTCAGGAGAGCATCAGGTTTCAAAATCCTGCTTATTTAAGCTTTTTGGGGATTAAGCTGTAACATAATGAGGATAAATATTCAATTTTCGTTTTAAACGAGAAGCCTCGTGTGTTTGGAGTGTTCTTCAAAAGCTGCATTCAGAGCTTGTTTACTCCAATCTAGAGAATATTTCAGGTTGATTTGGACAAACAAGTGTCCTGCTGGCTGTTTCAAAAAAAAAAAAATGCAGCTTTGAATATTTCATGTTCAAGCATTCCCAGAGTTTGAGTTCTGCTTTCCTGTCTCATTCTTCCCACGTTTGATATCTTCCATCAGCTCAAAATGTCTGTTATCTTTAGGACATATCACAGGAAGAGTTGTTACTGTTTGAAATAACACAAGTTGGTCATGAATACAGCTTTAATCTGCTAACTGTGGGTTCAATGAGCCACACTAACATTACATCCCTCCACATATGTCCCGGTGATGTTTGTGGAGATTTAAAGCTATTATTTCTTGTAGTTCTTTGTCTGATCTGTGGCATTTGCTTCATTTTCAGTGAGTTATCAGTGATCTTTGAGCTTTATGTAACAGCTTTGTCACAGTAAACATTGAGTGATTCCTTATTTGGTCAAATGTACTTACTAGACATCTGCATAACATTTCCAATAATTTCTTTGTTTACTGAAAACATTATTGATATTTCTGTGCCACCAGAGGGCATTATAGAAGTGTACACTGCTATTACCGTTAACGTTTTCACCCACAGGATTTAGCAATACTTACCGAGAGGGATATCTATAGCAGTGACCACGACTCCTATAGTGTTGGTAACTGCCTCCCCAACTTTCCTGGCAAGAGTGCTGCCTTCTTCATCCTCAAGATCTGATGCAAGTATTTCTGCACAAACAAGAAAAAAAAAACAACAACACTACTAAAGCTGCGCTTACATAAATATTAGGAGACGATATAAAAGAGAAAAAAGGAATGACGTGCAATCACAGAATGTGTACCTGCGTATGAAGCTCTCTGCTCAAAGCAGCCATCACAGACTCTAACAGGAGCAGGACCCCAGCCTCTCTCAGGGACCGGCGCAGCTTTAGAAGAGCAGCCATCACAGAAACCCTCCCCGCAGGCACGGCAGTGATGCTTGGTGTCATTATCCTGGAAGACTGTGTGACACTTGTGGCACATCTTGAACAAAAAAAAAAAAACAATAAAATCAAATGCTGTTATTGACCATGAGCTAAAACAGGCTACAGTCTTTCCTAATGTTATCTTGTGACATGCACAGCAGGAGTTGTGTAATAGCAGCACAGCCCTGCAGAAAGTAAACATCCTGGACACAAAAGTGTTGACTTGGCTGTTGGTGGCGGGTGGCAGAGGGTGGGTCTGCGTGTCACTCACTAAGATGAGGGAGTTGGGTTTCCAGTAGGCTGGGGCGATCTGATCTGTCAGCCAAGAGGTGACAGCCTTGGCAGGTTTGACACTGAGCTCTGACACAGATTGGGCCACTAGGTTGACACCGTCCAGAAGCCGCTGTGCAGCATTACTGTTGTCTTTTAAAAAGCCACCAGCCTGCAAAACCACAGATAGATTTGACTATAGCTACAGTTTAAATGACATAATAATCAATATATACGAAAATAGCTTTTAGAAGAGACAAACTGTGAGGTGTCCTTACTCCGGGCCAAATGTGGTGGATCTCAGTGCGGACAACCGTGTCCACKGGGTCCTGGTTTCCATACCAGTACTGACGGCTCCGATAGATGACGCCACAGTTTGGGCATTCTATAACGTACCTAATCATACATAAAAAAACTCCCTTTAATAAAAGAAAAAAATACACATGCTTCAAGTTTTCTTACATCAACTGGTAAATTATCTAATTTACTCACCCAGACCAGGCAAATCTGGCAAGACCGATCCACGGGGAGTCTGAGGAAGCAGAGGTCTTTGGGACAACCATGACTTCCTTTCCTCCTTCGTAACAAGCCTGGTGCATTGCACAACATATTGATTTTGACTTATCACCAAAGTAATGCAGTTATAGAARGACCACTAAGTTTGAGCCACTTTGCTTACCTTACAGGTGTAAATGCGATTGTCATACAGAGAGGAGTAACAGCAGCGCTGCTTGGCATCGTGGCAGCCTCCTTCTCCTAGGTGGTTCATACTATTCTTGCATTTAGACCTGGGATAAATGAAGCAATTCGCAATGTTTATTAATGAAAGAGAGAAGGAGATAAGATCGTTTTGTTGTTAAAACTAAGGCAGGAAGAACTGACCCACAGCTGAGACACTGACTGGAGCAGGTGAAGTACTCATCAGGAAAGAAGCAGCTGTGAGCAGCCGGCTCGCCTGAGATCTCCCCATTAAAGCGCTCACTCAGTGCCTGCAGAAACAGAGTCACACAAAACATTTTTGTAACAAAMCTCAGATTCACAATATGTGATGACAGACCAGCAGAAACTATGATTGTTGATGATTGACGTGTATGCAACTTTACCTGCAGGGCTTTATAGATGACCACTGGAGTGCGTGGGGAGCGGGTAGCATTGTTGTCCAGGAGCTGCTCCAGTTTGTTCTGCAAACCACGGAAGTCTGTAGGGGGGCTGAGAGTCTGCGTGCCCAGATACTGAACAGAGCTGAAGGCTTCTGGGTAACGGGAAAGCTTCCTAAAGCGCTCCAGGAGCAGCCGATCTACTGACTCTGATGATTTTTCTGCAGTCGAACAAACATGAAACAGAAGATAAAAAACATTTCACTCTTGTTTTTTCAAAATTTGTACAGTGTGTGATCCATGATTACTTGTAACATTAGAAATGATTTGATAGTCATTTACTTAAACTGTAAAACATAGGCTGTAAAAATACTATAGGCTGTTTGTTTTTATCAAAACAAAAACGAATTGTAACACAGCTGGAGACGTTTTATTGATGCTGCAAAACATATTGATTAAATGATGACGTTCACTAGGTTTTCCGGTGCGAGGCTGTGCGAGCTCTTATCCAGCCTGAAGGTTAATCTTGGACAATATCTGATGATAAGCCTTTTGAAATGAAACTGGRGTGTGTTGACAGAGAGGAGAATGTAGAAATGACTCAGCCTGCAACTGAAAATGTGGATGGAGGAAAGAAATAGCTGCTTCATAGATTGGAGAAGCTCAGTTTAGCCTGTTAGCATCTGTGTTAGCACCAAGCTAATCTATTTACACACAGATATGGCAATATACAGTGGTGGGCACAGTTTCCCCTAAAGCACTAAAGGACTATTAGGGAAACTAATTTTCTAATTAGTGCTTTACGGCTTTTGTTATTTTTTTTAATTCATTAGTGGAATAGCGCTTGCTAAATTTATGGGCTACATTTAAAAGCACTAACTGAGGTCTAAGAATGTTATTGATCAACGTTGTTTTTAACAGTTGAGGGTGAAAGATGTTGCACATTTTGTTYATATGTGTCACTTATCCACTAGGTGACATATTGACATTGATTATTGTCAATATTCTGCACACAGTAAATATTGTCTCATGTTGACTCTGAAGAATGTTCYTTGGGTCAACTGGGTTWTATTAGTGCTTTAGAATTAGCTTTTGCTAAYYTTTTCAGTGTATTAGTGCTTTAGAATTAGGGGGTAAGAGTTAGTCCTTTAGGGTTAGTGCAACTAATGTTTAGATTAGTGCTACCCACCCCTGGCAATATAGTGTTAGTGCTTGAGCGAATACATTATGTATAAACTAACACTACATATTTATTAGTAATATCTATATATAGCAGAGCTATTCAACTGGTGGCCCGCGGGCCGGAGTGACCAAAGTTCGGCCCGCCAGTTGGTTCATTCATCTCTTAAGCCCAAACCCCTGGTTTTCTACTTTAATTACTCTAAATTTTTAGTTAAACATAGACATGTTTGGTATCTACAGAAACGTCAGAATCTTGGCTAGAAGCTGGTAAAAA